AATATTCCAGATTTTTTTCTACTGCAAAAAAAGTTTCATTGATCAATCTTTATTTACTAATTATAACGCAATAACCCTACTTATACTTTACCTTTCATTAAGTTCTGTTAGTTCAAGGTAAATGAAATTAGGTCTTTTAAAGTATAAATATATTTATATACATATTCTACAAACTTAAAATGTACATACCTCTGTACTGTACCTACTTATATTTATATATTTATTTATACTTTTATATCGGTTAATGTTCATCAGAATAAATAAATAATTTCCCCAGATAAAAAAAAGAATCATATATTTTTACATATATATGTATATTAATTTTATATTATCATTTATCTTTATATTTTTTATATAATCTTTTTTTAAAGTTTCAATATATAAAGAATCGACTACGTAAGGATGGTCCAAAAGTCAATTAACCGTTGTGAAGACAAAATTGTTTATTATTAAATAGTTTATTACTTAAAAACTTTGCTACTGAAAATGTTTAAATATAATTCGATGATATTCAGTTTAGTATTCATATATTTACTATAAAAAAACCCATGTTTTTTTATTACAATATTAATTAAAATCTGAATAAAAGTTATCATCTTCATACATAAAATACAGTATTTTAGTTTATTTTTAATAAATTACAAAATTTTTCCATCGTCGTCATCATTTACAGTAGCTTATTCCTAAATAATTTTCATAAATACAACTTCAATACTTAATAAACAAGTTCTAAACAAGAAAAAAGTATGTTAAAAACTTATATAGATGATTCTTCTTATAAGCATTCAACTATATTAATATACATATAGTTTAAACTTTATTATACAAAAGTCAATTATGGCTTTCTAACTTATAAAGTTATAATGTGTTATANAACGTAAACTTTTTAAAATAATAATCGTGGCTATTGTATCCTTAAAAATGATTTCTTTATGTTTTACAAACGAAATATATACATTGAAAAATATAAAAACAAATAAAAATTATACTTTAGGCCGACTGGAATTCTTTCGGATAACCGACTTTCGGATAAACGACGCTCTACTGTATATATATTTTTTGTTGTTTTTTATGAGGTAATCATACCCAGCACTAAGGCTTGAAAGACCCATAATGCCAATAAGGAGCCTCAAACTGATCTTCTATAAACTCATTACTTTAGTAAGAATATCGAACTTTAAATTTGGCGCCATATCTGGGACTCTATATTGCTGATTTAGCGCAGCACAGAACTTAATCATATAGAGGATACCGGGAAATTCCTCCTCAAAAATTTCCCTAAAGAAAAATGTCTGAAGTCCGTACTGTACACGAGGCCCCCTAATTCAAAATTGTCTGGACCCCATGAAGCTATAACGCGCCACAGGCCCAAGCAACTTTTTCTTTTGCAGTTTCATTATTGTAAATACACAGCCAATAAGTTTGCAGTACATTTTAGATACTAAGAGTATTGTTTATATCATCTCCCAATCCAACCTCACCACGAATTATTTATATTTTAATGGAGCATAGGTTTTTTGGCTTACCATCCCAATATTTTAAATATTAAATAAGAATTTGAAATAGTGGGATGTACCGGATGAGCCAGGGGGAGAGGGAAATATCTGGGAAACGATAGTATAGGTCAGGATTCCCAACGAAGTCGATATGGAATCTTTGGGGGAGTCAATGGAACTGAAGAGGTTACACTTTACAGCTCGTGTCCGAACATCACGTGCCGTTTCTCTGAGTTAGCGATGATAATCACCGCGTAACTCATAGACAATTCGAGTCTCATCACAGTATTCCCCGAAAATAGATGTTGAACATGTGAACATGCTGATAGTGATAGTGATGTCAAGTCAAAGCGATGAAAAGTTCGATTAATTCTATTGTAGTGTGTTGAAGTTCAGGATTAGCTTTCTGAGCATTTGTTTTGAATTTTTGAATGTAGTACACGTGTCATTCATTAATCATTATTATTGTTGTATGTGAGAAACTTTCATACGGTTGTATCTACGAAACTACTGAGACTAATACCTATGTTTATCTAAAGTTATTTGCTTACAATGACCTATACTACAGTTTCCCAAAATATTGCCTTCTTCTCTTGACTCATCCTGTAAAATATAAGATATTGGAATGGAACTTCTATATCTGACCTTGTAATAACTACAACTAATTAATTAATATCTAATTATTACGTTAAACTTTTATTTAGTGTAATCAATTAGCGCGAAATCTTTGATTACAACACCATTTCCGATAATAAATATTTCCATAATTTAAAATAGGAAACTCTTTTCGTCCTATTTGATTACTTTTCTCCTTGATAAAATAGGATTAATAGAAGGCAATGCTATTGCGTTGTATTCTATCAATCCTTGGGCGATCTGCCAAGGAGGACTTTCTATGGAAAACTGGCTCCTATTTAGGTGTTAGACACATGAAGAAAACCAGGAAAACTCTACGTGATCAGCTGTTGTTAAGGTGCAAACCCGCGACTAACTATTGTACTAGTGTTCAGTAGTTTTATCCACTTAGTCACTTGAGCACGCTTGACAAAATAACGAAAGAAAAGTCAACTCTGATTATTTTCAATATAGAAAAGTTAAAATTGCAAAATGCAAATTATAAATAATTAATTAATTAATCGTCAACATAATTAAAATTGATATAAACTATTACACAACATTCAAACATGGAGGGAAATATTTTGAAACTGTAGCTCAAATGTGTAATACTTCCAGTTAATGTCATCGTTGTGAAAGTTGATATTGGTATAATTAATTATAGTTNCCGAAAGCATGATCGATAAAATTTATTTTCCTAACAAGAATATCGAGAAAAATGCTTACGTTTCGAGCTTTAAAGAATACAGTCACATGTACCAGACGTCGATTAACGATCCCGAAACGTTTTGGGGTGATATAGCTAAACAGTTTCACTGGAATTCCTTTTGGAAAAAAGATTTCTGCACTTATAATTTTAATGTGGAGAAGGGTGAAATCAGCATACGCTGGATGGATGGTGCTTCCACTAACATTTGTTATAACGCGCTGGATCGTAACGTGGAGAAAGGCTACGGTGACGAGATAGCTTTTTTCTGGTAAGATTTTTAAATGTTTAAATTCAAAATTTCTGGCTAACGTTGTAGATATAAATAGAACATATTATATATAAATATTTTAAAAAGTACAGGGCGTATTTTATTTTTTATAATTACAAAAATATGAAAGAAATTAGGCTACCGGCGGATGCCACGGCGCGCGTCCTGTCGCGCCCGACAATATATATATTATAATAATAATAAAACTGATAAATAATCTAGTTTTATGTACAAAAACTTAATACATATGTTATATATATTTTATACATAACATATGTATAATGTTATGTATAAGATTGGCTGATTATTAATTTCCTGCGCTTAATGGTCTATTAACGCTATACAGCGCGATGATGCGTGTGTCGCATTTTATTTTATATACCAAACAGATACTAAATCTATACTAATGTAACTAAATTAGAAATATAAATTATATTTAAAATTATATAAATTAATCGAAAAACATATTAAAAATCGTTTTTTTTTTTTTGCATACATCAATCAGTAATTGTCATGTATAGGCTATAAAAAGTTCTCATAAGCTTAATTTATCTATTCGGCATTCTTTGTTTATTAATTAATGAATTAAATTTTCTTTTAAATTGCCTTAATTTATGATTAATTAATTTTAAACTGGTAATTTAATATTAAACTTTTTTTCATTCATTTTTGCTTTATCGCATTGATTGGCGAAGCGCTTGTTCGCGCGACGACGACGACGACGCGCTACAAGAAATAAGTAATTCATATTTTTAAAAGGATAATCTCTTATTTAAAATGGATGACAAAAAGAATTAAATGAATAATCTATATTCTTATATATAAATACAGTACTTTCATTGGGTATAAGAATAGAAGATTTTTGAGATTTGTTTTTAACGTTGACTATCACGTCTAACGCAACTATAACTTAAAAGTATATCAGAAAAAAATGACTATTTATATTTTAAAAATAATATTAATAGATTAAAATCACGTATTTTGCCCAAAATTTTGCTTATTTTATTTTTAAAAGAATCAATTTGTATTGGATAATATCCTAAGAGGTGAAAAAGCCAAGTTCGCGATGCGTATCGATTAAAGGGCGCAATTTTGTCTTAAAATAATGAGAGAAAATTTGAGGTTTCATTATTAGAAATATAATCACATTAAACGTCCTTTTTAAAATGCTTATTGGAAGGATAGATTGTTAGACAGCCGCACTTTTCCTATTATCATAGAGTAAAATTTAAGAAGTATTTCGGTTTCATTTGAATAAGTTCATGGAAAATGCTTTTTAAGTTCAACCAAAAGTTTGTGGTAATTAATATGAAATATAACAATATAAGCGCTCACATATACACAGGGAATTAACTATATACAGGTAATATTTAACACACGAAATTTAAAATAATAATAATAGTAATGTACAATACATTAATACATATGAAATAATATAGCCTATATATAATTTATTTCGCATTCATATAAACAAACATTGCAGAAATTAAAATATTTAGCATTTTTCTATTTCTGCTAGCTCTAATTTCTCCGTATAAATAAAGAAAAAGAGTTTACATACACATAGAATATAATTGTTATAGACATTTATACAGAAAAAACGATAAAATCAGAAGTTTTGTATGTGTAAATTAACATTAAAAAATAAATAATAATAAACCCCGGATTTCATCATTTTTCATGGAACTTGCTATTTTAATCCTTCAAAATTTTTTTTTCTCCCATTACAATCGTCCTTCGAAAGTCACGTGAAAGCCAGTTAAATATTAAACGTTGTGTGCCAACTGTCACGTGATCCAGTCACGTAATTATTATTGCGGTTCGGTCGAACCCTCTTTTTTAAATTTCTACACATATATATTATAGAACGGAACGTATAATAAACATAAAGGAACGAATTTTATCGTGTTTCTAACGATTTTACGCCAGTTCGTTTACTCCGTTCGTACAGTACCTCTTCCCAACGGAAGCATTGAAAGGCGTATCCTTTTGTTCGGCGATCGTATCAGGTTGTGAGAAAACACTTACGTCATAGAACGGTATAAAAACAGACAAGCGGCGCTGCTAGCTTCATTCATCGTTTCCTACTTACTTGTGTTTGTATCTGTATCGTCGTCGTCGCCGCCGGGTGGAGTCGAATCGCGTCCGAATCCAACATGGAGGTTGCTACCGAAAGCATGATCGATAAAATTTATTTTCCTAACAAGAATATCGAGAAAAATGCTTACGTTTCGAGCTTTAAAGAATACAGTCACATGTACCAGACGTCGATTAACGATCCCGAAACGTTTTGGGGTGATATAGCTAAACAGTTTCACTGGAATTCCTTTTGGAAAAAAGATTTCTGCACTTATAATTTTAATGTGGAGAAGGGTGAAATCAGCATACGCTGGATGGATGGTGCTTCCACTAACATTTGTTATAACGCGCTGGATCGTAACGTGGAGAAAGGCTACGGTGACGAGATAGCTTTTTTCTGGTAAGATTTTTAAATGTTTAAATTCAAAATTTCTGGCTAACGTTGTAGATATAAATAGAACATATTATATATAAANACTTTTATATCGGTTAATGTTCATCAGAATAAATAAATAATTTCCCCAGATAAAAAAAAGAATCATATATTTTTACATATATATGTATATTAATTTTATATTATCATTTATCTTTATATTTTTTATATAATCTTTTTTTAAAGTTTCAATATATAAAGAATCGACTACGTAAGGATGGTCCAAAAGTCAATTAACCGTTGTGAAGACAAAATTGTTTATTATTAAATAGTTTATTACTTAAAAACTTTGCTACTGAAAATGTTTAAATATAATTCGATGATATTCAGTTTAGTATTCATATATTTACTATAAAAAAACCCATGTTTTTTTATTACAATATTAATTAAAATCTGAATAAAAGTTATCATCTTCATACATAAAATACAGTATTTTAGTTTATTTTTAATAAATTACAAAATTTTTCCATCGTCGTCATCATTTACAGTAGCTTATTCCTAAATAATTTTCATAAATACAACTTCAATACTTAATAAACAAGTTCTAAACAAGAAAAAAGTATGTTAAAAACTTATATAGATGATTCTTCTTATAAGCATTCAACTATATTAATATACATATAGTTTAAACTTTATTATACAAAAGTCAATTATGGCTTTCTAACTTATAAAGTTATAATGTGTTATAAATTTCGTACGAAACAAAATATTATATTATATAAAGCGAAATAGTTTCGATATCATTAGTTTTATACAGATTTGTTGCATAGAATTGACCTACATACTAAAATTATGAACCTGTATTTCCTGTATTTGAAGATAGAGGAAAAGCGAAACTACTCTTTTGATGCGTTATTTACTTATTAATATTGTTAATTAATAATTTAAAAAAAGGTTATATAAGACTCTTATAACTATAAGGAAAGCAAAATAATTTTATGAGTAGTAAAATATACTGCATAATAATTTTATTGAAGAAATACTTGCATCATTATATAACTATTCTTTCTTTTAATAAAAGAACAAGCTATAATTAAATCTTAAGTTATATAATATTTAAAACAGTAATAATATATTGTGCATTTTATTATACTTAAAATAAAGTATTACATACATAATTTTATTATTTATGTCATTACGTGTCTATGTATATATACAAAAATTCGATTATTTTATTCACTTTATGCTTTATTTTTCTAATATAAAAGTAATTTAGAATTTTTATAACATTTATTTATTAAATTTATTACAGCATTTCAAAGAATTCGATCCCCTAATTCACGAATTATTTATATTTTAATGGAGCATAGGTTTTTCGGCTTACCATCCCAATATTTTAAATATTAAATAAGAATTTGAAATAGTGGGATGTACCGGATGAGCCAGGGGGAGAGGGAAATATCTGGGAAACGATAGTATAGGTCAGGATTCCCAACGAAGTCGATATGGAATCTTTGGGGGAGTCAATGGAACTGAAGAGGTTACACTTTACAGCTCGTGTCCGAACATCACGTGCCGTTTCTCTGAGTTAGCGATGATAATCACCGCGTAACTCATAGACAATTCGAGTCTCATCACAGTATTCCCCGAAAATAGATGTTGAACATGTGAACATGCTGATAGTGATAGTGATGTCAAGTCAAAGCGATGAAAAGTTCGATTGATTCTATTGTAGTGTGTTGAAGTTCAGGATTAGATTTCTGAGCATTTGTTTTGAATTTTTGAATGTAGTACACGTGTCATTCATTAATCATTATTATTGTTGTATGTGAGAAACTTTCATACGGTTGTATCTACAAAACTACTGAGATTAATACCTATGTTTATCTAAAGTTATTTCCTTACAATGACCTATACTACAGTTTCCCAAAATATTGCCCTCTTCTCTTGACTCATCCTGTAAAATATAAGATAATAAATGTAAATATTGATATATCACAACTTATAACTTTGAATAATCGAGGGATTGTAACAGTTATCGCATAAAGCATTTATATCAGCAAACACAAGGCACATACAGTTGAAATAAAAAGCAGCTACTCCTCATATTCTCTACAATACACTTCATAATAGCTGTAGTAAATGGCTTTATTAAATGTCATGTACATTAATGATTTTTATAACTATAAACAGTAATCAATATGTGTCATGATACTTTTAAAGAGATCATGTGACCTCTTCACCATCATGCATTGTCATCATTTATGTATTTTATTTAGACTTATGACAAAACAGACTTACAACCAGGTTGTTGTAAGAAGAGTTGTATCCGTATTTAAAAATAATCATAATTATTGTTATTTGAATTTTATTTCAATTTAAATAATAAATAAAATACTTAAATTCAAATTTATTTTTTAATGCATTAGTAATTCCACTTTTAATTGTTATACTACAAAAATACTATATTGATTTTAATTCTTCCAAAGATTTATTTCAAGTTAAAAAATTTTCAAATATTGAAAATCTTGACTTCTAGATTGTAAGGCTGTCTTCATGAATTATGTTTACATTGTTGTAATTTGATAGATATTTTTAAGTTCCTATAACTATTTCTAGAATAAATTATAAATAATCTATGAATATTTCTGATAAATATGAGTTGTTATAAAAAAATATTCTTGCTTTGTTTTAAATTTTAACACATTTTTTAAAATACTTATAATGATAAATTTACTGTTCAGTTTTAAATTAAAAGTTTCTATTATTTTTTCTGAAGTTCTATATTTTTACAGTATTTATTCATTTTTCAAATATTTATTACTAATGTCAATCTTTGCTGATCTAAAGGGCTGCCTTCTGAATGAATGAATACACTTTTTAGCCTTAATACTCTATATCATACAATTTCATTTCTATAATATTGGTTTTACAGATTAATGTTTTATCAAATATCTGAATTTCACAATATGGCTAAAAAAGTGGGAGAGAAGAAAGAAAGTGTAATGCAATTTATTTAAAGCTAAAATAATACTAATTAACATATATTATTAAATAATAATGATGTTATATTTTGAAAAATTAACTTTGACTCTAAGTACACTAAAACAATTTTTAAACAGATTTTTTTTTAAGTATAATTACAATGAATTTCATTGAAGCATACTGAAAAGAAAATATGAATTGTTTTATAATATAATTTAACAATTAATAAAATATGTATAAAAAATATAATTAAACAAAAAAGAGATAGTTATAGGAGCTTAAATATTTGTTTATTCTGTAGTTTGTTTGTTTATATCTTTCATAGAATCAGGAAATCATTATTTACATGTTTATTAATTATCCTTATCAAAACAATATCTCAAGGAAATAAGGTTTTGATTATGTTTCTTGACATCTAATGTTTAATAATCTAAATCTCTGAAAAAATAGCTGTGTGAGATTTTATTGAACATAAGCATTTAAATCAAAACAATATGTCCAATAATTTAAAATTTTAAAGCATAATATAAACAATTATTGCTAAANTTAAATTAAAAGTGTCTATTATTTTTTCTGAAGTTCTATATTTTTACAGTATTTATTCATTTTTCAAATATTTATTACTAATGTCAATCTTTGCTGATCTAAAGGGCTGCCTTCTGAATGAATGAATACACTTTTTAGCCTTAATACTCTATATCATACAATTTCATTTCTATAATATTGGTTTTACAGATTAATGTTTTATCAAATATCTGAATTTCACAATATGGCTAAAAAAGTGGGAGAGAAGAAAGAAAGTGTAATGCAATTTATTTAAAGCTAAAATAATACTAATTAACATATATTATTAAATAATAATGATGTTATATTTTGAAAAATTAACTTTGACTCTAAGTACACTAAAACAATTTTTAAACAGATTTTTTTTTAAGTATAATTACAATGAATTTCATTGAAGCATACTGAAAAGAAAATATGAATTGTTTTATAATATAATTTAACAATTAATAAAATATGTATAAAAAATATAATTAAACAAAAAAGAGATAGTTATAGGAGCTTAAATATTTGTTTATTCTGTAGTTTGTTTGTTTATATCTTTCATAGAATCAGGAAATCATTATTTACATGTTTATTAATTATCCTTATCAAAACAATATCTCAAGGAAATAAGGTTTTGATTATGTTTCTTGACATCTAATGTTTAATAATCTAAATCTCTGAAAAAATAGCTGTGTGAGATTTTATTGAACATAAGCATTTAAATCAAAACAATATGTCCAATAATTTAAAATTTTAAAGCATAATATAAACAATTATTGCTAAAATTAAATTTTAAAAATATTTTTTGTTTATTTAATTATTTTTTTAAAATTTCTATAATGAAATTTGTTTTTATAGGGAAGGAAATGATCCTGGTGACACCAGAAAAATTACATATAAAGAATTACTACAAGAAGTGTCTAAATTTGCAAATGTTCTAAAATTGCAAGGTAAAAAAAAAAAATTAAAATGCAGAACATGAAATGGTACAAATATAATTCATTTTTATAAAATAGTTATCTTTAATAATTTGTCTTTTTGACATTTACAATTTTTATAGGAATTAAAAAAGGTGACAGAGTTGCTATATATATGCCAATGATTATTGAATTGGTAGTAGCAATGTTGGCATGTGCCAGATTAGGAGCAATTCACTGTATAGTAGTAAGTTAAATTTTATTATTAAAAATTATAAATGATATATAACATAATCAGATATAATCTGCAAAAACTCATATATATATATATATATATATTTTTTTTTAACTTTACAGAATAATGTAATAATATAAAACTAATAATTATTAATGATTGATAGCTTCAAAATTAATTAATTTATTATTCATTATCTATTTGTAAATACTTTGGTAGGAAGAATATCATTCAACTTCCTTATTATCTGTACTGATATTATTTTTTTACCTATACAGTGGCTATATATTAGTGATTCAAAAGTTTCCAAACAAGATATCTGAACAGATGTTCTTTCAATGCATGTGCACTTTATTAGATGAATTATCATACATTTGGCATGAGTGAGAGGAATGCATTTATATGTCATCCAATTAAGTGGCACCTGCATAATTATATTCTGCAATTTAAAAGTGAGTGCATAATTAAAGTGAAATGTTTATCCTTGCATAGAGACTTTGTGTCACCTTATTTCTATCTTAATGGTAAAGAAGTGCACACTGGAAGCTGTAATTAGATAAGAAATGTTCAATTAAGCCAATGTTATAAGCCAAACATAAGTTTTCAGTAAACTAAAATTAAAAAACAAACATTTTCACTTGATGTAATGAAAATGTTTGCAACATCAGCTGAAATAAGCATTTATTGCCGCTCAATCCCATTTTTTTATCTGTTAAGATTCTTTATATTTTTAAAAAATTTTACAGCACAATAGAATTTAAACAACAGATTAAGAAAGAAAGTAGACTGTTAATATGTAAGATATAATTATTACAATGATTCTGATTTAGTTGCACAAATATTGGATAACAAGGTTGTTGAATGCTGCAAAACTAATAAATTCTTATAAACCTTATTAGTTAATAATTAAAGTAAAATAAATCAATATTCAAAAACAGTTAAGTTCTAATATTAAAATAATTGCAGCTGAAATGTTTTGAAATTTGCAGTTTGGAGGATTCTCATCTGATTCCCTGACTGAAAGAATATTAGATGCAAAATGCACACTTCTCGTTACAGCAGGTATATTTTCAGCCTGCTGTTTTTTTGTTAATTTTCTACATTAATATTTAGGTACTTTCATTATGCATTAAACAATAAATTTTAAATGTAACAGATGGGGTGTGGAGAGGAACAAAATTGGTAAATCTTAAAAATATAGTGGATGATGCCATTGAAAAATGTAAAGATAAGTAAGTAGGAATTTCAAGAATTAAAATTAACAACTTTTATATTGCATGTAATGGTTGAAAGTATATAATTTTTAAAACAGAGGACATAGTTTAATTGCTAATATTGTTGTACGCCATCTAAGTCCACCATCAGAGATAAATGGATGCAATACAAAAGTGTGTCAGCCAGCTAAAAGGCCCACATATGATTTAGAAGTAGGTATAGCATTTGTTAATAAAAAATATATAAATTACTGAATTTTTAATGTATGAGTATATTTTAGATCACATGGAATTCAGAAATAGATAAATGGTGGCATGATGAAATGTCTAATGTAGATGAAGAGTGCAAGCCAGAATGGATGGAAGCAGAGGACCCTTTATTCATTCTTTACACAAGGTAATTATCTAATAATGTTTTGAATTTAAAATTGTCTAAATGAAAGTAACAGTTCAAACTCTTTATTTAGTGGATCTACAGGCAAGCCAAAAGGAGTACTACATACTACTGCCGGATATATGATATATGCAGCAACAACCTTAAAGTATGTCTTTGATTATCACAGACCAGAAGTTTATTTCTGTACAGCAGATATTGGCTGGATTACTGGCCATTCATATGTTGTGTACGGACCATTACTAAATGGTGCAACTAGTGTTCTTGTAAGTTTACTTATTGTCATACTTTATTCTATGTAAATTTCTCAACATATACATGTTAAAATATTTTCAGTTTGAAGGAATACCAACTCATCCAGATCCTGGAAGATACTGGGATATTGTTGATAAATATGGAGTTTCTAAATTCTATACAGCTCCAACTGCTATTAGAGCATTAATGAAATTTGGAGAAAATTATGTAAAAAGGTAATTTTAAAATTATGAAAGACTCATACAATAAACAATATCTAAAATAACTCTATGTATTTTATATATATATGCATATATACACTCATTGACAAAATAAAATTAACCACCTAAATATATGTATGCCAAGCTTTGCAGTAATTGAACAATTCTGTCTCTGATACTTATGTTTATACTTGTGGTCCATTGCATACCAAGTAATGCCACTAGAATGCCTTAAAATTGCTATCCCAATATATGCAGAAATTTACTGTGTTAAGAATTTTTAGAGTACCTATTATTTGGAGATCTTTGAATGTTAGTTATTCCTGTACAATACAGTCAAAGACATCACATACAACTGACAAATGATGTGGCCTTTGTCAAACTCAGTCAGTTGTATGTAATCTTTCCATTATCATCATTGGGTTGAGGAGAATGTGGAATAGTCACCATACTCACCAGTCATAACTATATTGGATGTTTTCCTAAAAGATAGGGTCTATTCAACTTTTACAACTATTGTTGCAAAATTGCAGCAGAATATGCAGAAGTTACTGCAGACATCATTCAAAATATTTGATTCAATCACCTCCTCTTCTCAGTTGTGTGTTGGTGTTGAAGGACAGCATTTTTAGAACATCATTAATTTAACATTAAACGTTGCATCGAAATTTTAAGAAACTTCTCTGCATAGCATTCATTCTTTGGATTGCAGAAGCTACTTACTCTGCATGCTCATAAATGTAAAGTTGACTTATTGTTTCATAACATGTTCTCAGAGAAATTTAAGCAATAAAATTGATTTGAGGCATGCATTAAACTAATTTCATTATTTTCTACAACTTTACAATTGGAAAATTTGATGTATCTGCCATAGTAAATAAGATATTTGATTGCTCTTTTAAATGAATTTCAGGTACATCAACAATAGATTTGTCATACATGATTTACTAATAACAAGTATCACTTTTATAAACATAACTTTCACATTTTCAAAGTTATAGTGAAGAAAGTATAAGAAAGTTTCCACCTTTCTGAATCATCCTATATATNTTATGGAATAAAATAATTATTTTTAATTCAGACATTTCCATTTTTTGGAGTTATACCAGCTATTGTTGATGAAAATGGTAAAGAGATAACTGGACCAGGTGAAGGATATTTGGTATGTTTTTTAAATCTTTTTTAAACTAATACTCAGGAGTTATTGATTGTAAACTTTATATATTCTTTACTAATGAAAAAGCTTCTTTGAAGAAAAATATTTCTCAAATAAACTTTTTGGAACTTGTTTAAAAAACTAGTTACCTCTTATTTTTATCCTTGCATCTGTTAAATATATATTTTAGGGGAGAATAGAAAATGTAATGAATTTTTCCTATAGAAAAATTTTAGTTTTGGAGTTTTCTCTTCTAAAAGTAAACATATAACTATCTCTATTTTACTTTTTATATATTTATACAAGTGAAATTTTGATCTGAATAACTTATTTTGTTCTTAAAAACTATTTCAGAATTTAGTTTAACTAAATCCTTTACTCAGTCTGTCTTTTTATGACTGATTTCATTAATGAGAACTTGTTTTTCCACTTCCTTTTAGTCTATAATATTGGGTGATTTATAGCTTTATCCATTTTTGTGAGTATGCTAACAAAATCATTTATTTGTAGGTCATGTGAAACATGCTGATTCAAAAAGAGTGAATTGCTGCGGGTTTGTGCATGTTTGAGTAAATTAACATACACAGAAGTACAGACAAACTTTACCTAAAAATTCAGGAAGCTTGCTCCTACCATAAGACTGTTAATTATCAAATTCAGACAAATGGATAGAGTTAACTATGTACAATGTTCTGGGAGATCCACCATTCCTTATGAGGAATCAGTTCAATGTGTAGAGATTGCAATAACTTAGTCCTCTCACGGATCAACCAGGAGTGTTAGCTGGGAGTTCAATGTGCCACAACTGACTATGGAAGATCATTACAAACTCATGAAATGTGGATACTGTGTCCAGATGTTGCATAAGCTGGAGAAGGACAACTATGCCATCTGCTAAGCAATGCATCATATTCTCTTGGTATAGATAGTTTTGATGGAACATATGTTTAGTACTCTTCTCAAACTGCACTTATGAAAAATAACTACATTTTACAAACCTTTAACATGCAGTCTATTTTATTAAAGTAATCTAATGTTTTCGGTCAATTAATTGACTGAAAACGTTAGATTACTTTAATAAAATAGACTGCATGTTAAAGGTTTGTAAAGTATAGTCATGTGTTTAACAATATGTTAATCCACCCAAATGTGAAGAAATCACAGCATGTTCTCTCTCTTCATGGGTCAGCATGTTCTACATGACCTGCAAACAAATGTTTTTGTTAGGATTTTCATAAAAATAAATCAAGACTTTATAACCATCTTTTAGTTAATTTATTCATAAACATATAGTATTAAAAATATTAAACTTCATAATTTTATCCTTCTATTTTGCAAAATCCTGTAACTTCCATAAAAGATAATGTATGCAATCACAATTGTAAATGAGAAGCCAAAGCTTTTCAAATAAGATGTTTTAAAATAATTTGGATAATTATTATTAACAACAAAACAAAAAGTACCAGAACAAAACAAAAAGTATGTTTGTTCTTGCTATTTTTAATTCATATATACAAGTATATATATAATAATTTTATATTATTTTCTAAAAATATTCTCGTAATTTTCTTAGATATAAGAGAGACACATTAAGAGTTTTAGGAACTGTAGGAGAACCTATCAATCCAGAAGCATGGGTTTGGTATCACAAAGTAATAGGAAATGGACAATGCTCTATAGTTGACACATTTTGGCAAACAGAAACAGTAAGAAATTAATTATTGCTATATTAATATTTTTAATACTTAATTTATAAATTTACAAATATACCTATTAATTAAAAATAGGGTGGTCATGTGTTAACTCCATTACCTGGATGTACACCCACTAAACCAGGATCAGCAGTGAGTCTTTTGATTTAGAAATTACTTACCAGTATAATTAATCTTAATTTTATGGAATAAAATAATTATTTTTAATTCAGACATTTCCATTTTTTGGAGTTATACCAGCTATTGTTGATGAAAATGGTAAAGAGATAACTGGACCAGGTGAAGGATATTTGGTATGTTTTTTAAATCTTTTTTAAACTAATACTCAGGAGTTATTGATTGTAAACTTTATATATTCTTTACTAATGAAAAAGCTTCTTTGAAGAAAAATATTTCTCAAATAAACTTTTTGGAACTTGTTTAAAAAACTAGTTACCTCTTATTTTTATCCTTGCATCTATATAATTATAAAATATAATATTTTTAGGTGGTATTTATTAATAATAGAGAAGTTTCATTTTTCCCAATAGTTCTATTTTAAGTAACAACAAACTTAAATGTTGATAATACTGTACAGTACATCATCATCATCATCACTTTAAAAAAATCATGCAATGTACTGTACAGTACATTATTTATGAATACAAAATATTCCATTCTTAGCATTTTGACATTATTTATTCTATTACTTCACTTATTTTTCAATTAGTGAACTACCTCTTAAAACAATAAATGAAATTTAACAGATTTCTTTAATGTTTGTTGTACTGTATATGATTCTGATATTTAGTTCAGAATTCAAACTTTTTTAAAAATTATTACTGCATTTTGAAGTACTTTTGTGTTTCCTAATGCAATGAGTGAATGATTCATCACAATATGAATTTGAAAAGTCATACTAAAAAATTTTTCACAAAGTAAATTTTACATATACCTTTTGAATTTATGTGAAAAATAACTGGACTTTATAATTAATCATTTCTTCTAATATAAATGATTATTGGGATGTTTTAGTTTTGGAAGTTTTTTCACATATTTAATGTGTGAAACTTTTATGAATTTTTAATTTATTTATTTTGAAATAATATTTATTTAAAGAAATTTTTATGATCACATAACACTACTATTAAATAACATTAAAAAAATTCATGTGTAAGAAATGTAAAATCCTTTTAATGAAATGATATTAATACTGTAGTAGGATTAAAAATTGATTTTTTTCAATATATATATATAATAAATTTCAATGCATATTTAAAAGCTTCAGATTAGTAATATATATATATTACTAACCTGAAGCTTTTAAATATGCATTGAAATTTATTGTTTGCAAAAATATTTAACCATTGGCAATTTTCATAAGTCACTTTATAAATACATTTTTTTAAGGTTTTCAAAAGACCTTGGCCTGGTATGATGAGGACTGTGTTTGGAGATCACAAGAGGTTTGAAACAACATATTTTCAGAAATTTCCTGGTTATTATTGTACAGGAGATGGTAAGATTTTAATATAATATTAAAATTGAATTTATTAGGCTAGATTTTTATTTTTTTACCTAAATATAAAACTGAAAATATTATAAACAAACTAAACTTCATATATTTTAAAATTATAAAACATAAATGCCATTTAGATTTTAAATTTTACAAAATAAGAAATAGAACTTGAAAAAGCAGTTACTAGTTTTAAATACTATTGCATTTGAAAATAGGGTGGACATTAAAACATTTGTCCAGGGACAAAAGATCTTTTCAGCATTGCACAAGTGTATGCATGTAGTGTATGCTTCATCCAGTGCTAAAATAACCGAAGGGAATCAATTTAAGGCAATTTAGCATAATATATAAATAATCTCTGACTGTAGAGAATAATGTCAACATTGCAAAAATTGATCCAAAAATATGAGCTTTATTTGATTAGAGAAACACATTTAAAACATGTTCAAAATTCAAAAATCTTTGTATTGCCTTCAGCAACAATACAAAGATGCAGATGGTCAAACATAACATTATGGATGGCACTTAACATTCCTGGTGTCACAAGTCTGTCATATAGATCTATCCAGTTTGCCATCATCACACAGCACTGCTGGGATCATATACCAATGCTTTTAGGTGACTCTATTGGAAAAATCCAGAAGGGTCACATGTAGGAAACATGGTGGCCATGAAATAGTGCCATGTTGTCCTATCCAGCAGTTGCCAAATTTCTCTGTGAGCCAATGATGTATATCTGTCTGGGAATGAGCTGGTGCATCGTTACACAGATACCAAACCTTCTGTAGTTGCACCAATGGCAGGTGATAAAGCCATTCATCAACAGTCTTGTTCAGATATTGGTCAATGTTTAGGGTGCAGTCTATTTGTAGAGAATGGTCTGCCTAGTGACATTTTTTTATATGAATTAAATATCTATTCAGGGCAATAGATTAAGGTATTAATTATTTTATTACTAGAACAAGCATGCACCACATGCACACTCTTAAGAAATGCTGGAAGATCTCTTTTTCCCCTGGACAGATGTTTATATAGAAACCATGTATAAAAATATAGTATTGGTATGGTTTAAGTAACATAGCCACAAAATATAAAGATGGCATGATTTTCTAAACAGAGGAAAAATCAACTTTAGAGCATAAATGAATGCATTCCTAAACTATATCTTTAGTTTTGCAATCAGAATGATAAAATTAATGGAATCAGCAATATTCTTCACTAAAAAGAAGTTATCAATAGCAAATACATTATCACAAGATAAAGATCTAAGTAAATTAATTCCTGTCAAAATTATCCTGATGAAAGATAAGTAAAAATACTTTGCTCTAAACTTTTATCTGGAAAGATATACTTAATAAGTTAATGATAATTCTAGCACTAAATTACTTAAAAAACACTCTCACTAATAAAAATAAATATATTGTGTAAATGTATAGACATTAATTTTTAGAGACTTAATGCAACAAATTTATTAATTATTTGTACAACTGGATATGAATTTCTCAAATTCTAATAAATGTAGGTATGAATTTCTTGAAGAAACTCATCATAACTATAGTAAATACTTATAAAATTTTTTAATTTATTACTATTATCATGTGAATTCACCTAAAGCAGTTCAGAGTACAAATTTTCTGTTTAAAATCATTTTGCAAAGCAAAAAGATTGTGAACCACTGACCTATTGTAACAACAGATCACATTCACAAATAGACAATATAGTTCATTGAAACAAAGAAAACATTCACAAACAGATATAAGAATGTTTTCTTTGTTTCAATGAACTATATTAAAAACCTGCAATATACACATATACAACCAGTGCTATAAACTGCTTTTCACATGTACTGTGCAAGATTTTATTTTTGACTCCCCTTTTTTTGAGAAAATATTTTAAAAAAACAAATAAAATAACTGACATTTAAGTTGTAGCTTTAACCAAAATTGTTATGGAATGGAATCTGCTTCTATGGCAGCAGACTTTAAAATTTGAAAATAAAAATAGAATACTGATCATTTTTAGATATCTCCATTTTTATGATCATCTTTGTCCTGGGCCTGTACCTAAGACACCTGCCTGTACAGTTAAAGTACTGTATACAACACTGGAATCACTCCAAATTTCATGCTTTATTAGTTCTGCTTTTGAATTTTTCATAAATCCACTTTGAAAAATTTCATAATACTGGGTTTATTGAATTCCAATATAGCAGTAGGTATGAAAGAACATGCATTCTAACAAGAATTTGGATACAGGACGTTCAGATACTGGGACACAATTGTATTTATTTTTTTAATGATGCAATATACAGTTGAACCTGTATCTCAAATCTCACAGGAACAAGAAAAAAATTTGCAATAGACAGGTTTCAAGATATAGAAGTTTCCACATAGTAAACAGTAATAGCTATAACTGGAGGTACAGTATTTTATTAAAATAATAGCAAGTACAGTATATACCTATATTAGGTATAAATAAAACATTTTTGAATACCTTAACAGAAACAGCTTGTCAATAGTTTCTGATGCCCATCTTTCTTCAACTAATAAGGCGCACACTCCAAACCCATAGCCAATTGGAGGAAAGCAGCATTAATTGCAACTATATACAACAAAACTACATAAACTGGAATTGCACAGTACTGAATATTTTTTTCAGATTTGACAAGTTTCCATTTTGGACAGCTTTTCTGTACTGTATTGCAAGAGATGATTTCTCAATTGCAATTTATGCTATCATAATGAAGTTGTTGGGCTTTGAAATTTTAATTGAAATATAGAGGTGTGGTAGAGAACTATCTGAGATAAACATGGAAAATATATTGAATTTAGGCTGAAAATGCAGGGAAAAAATAAATTTCAAGATAAACATGTTCGAGATAGACAGGATCAACTGTATTTATTAGTACAATTTAATTGTAGATAAATATCTACAATCAAATATAAAATTCAAAGAAACTGGTTAAGCATTTAATTTCTTATTCTTTCTTGAAAAAAATATTATAGTTTTAAAAGTAACTTATCATATACCTTTTATAATGAAGAACATAGATCTAGCAACTGATTGAATGGAAAAAATCATTTTCATATCTTTCAAAAGAATTTCTTAAATCCTTTATATAAAAAGTGTTATTCTTCAGTAAGATTATTTCATGATAATTAGGTTATTAATTAATATAAATAATTTCAAGCTTAACAATGCAAAACAAACAAAAATTATTTCTCCTATTAATCTAAACTAAGATCTATAGCATCTTATTATGTACAAGCCATAAATTAAAGATTACCTTAAAAAATATTTTTATTGGAATTTCTGATTAGTTCATATATTGTCAATTGTTAAAAATTGATTAAGTTATCTCAAAATATGTATGTGGATGTTTTCTTTGTTTCAATGAACTATCAAAGTGCAACACTGTACTGATGAAGAGATCAAATTATTGAGGTGATTTCTAATCTAAACTTCTAAATTTTGTTAATGATGACAAAATGTCATAATGAAAAATTGGCATAATAATTTTAAAATTAATTTAATTAAAACTGCTAATAAATATTTGAGAAAATAAACATTTTTCAACAATATTCAATATATTACAAATCAAATAACTATATTATGTAATGGAGTTCTTTTTTCTTTGTTTGAATTGCCTAAACAAAACATCTAGAAACAAACAATATCAGCTATAGTAGTATGAAGTTTCTACACACAAAATCCAGTAACAGCTGTAACAACACAAGACAAATGAGATTATAAAAATCATTTGATATTCCTCTGTGAGTCAATTAGCATCTAAAACATCTTACTATTAGTAACAGATTAATGATCTTCAACTAACCTCTGTCCAGCCCATTCTGTTACCATTACTCATCCATTCAGGAGGTAGCTATACTTTCACTTTGACACTCATTGCCTCTTCAACTTTGCCTTTTACAACAACTTATACAAATACAATTGCCAGTTATACCATCTGAACTAAATTGTACAATTAAATATATATATAAGAGGGTGTAATGAAACTTTATGCCAATATTTTAGGGTTAGATTCTAGGATAAAAAATATCCTCTTAAAATCCTCTGTAAATGTTTTCCAAAATCTGTTTTGTTTTCAAGATCTGATCTGTCAAAAATTGTACTTTTCAAACTTACCACCAAAGTACTAACAGCAGAGTTGTCAATTTAGTAATTTCTGTGCTTCTGTCAACAGACTGAAGTTAAGCATATATTGCCCAAGTAATCCCTATTGTAATAAATGTAAATGAAGCCTTAGAGTGGATAACAATCTAAGATTTTGCAATATCTATCTGCTTTACACTGAAAATAGTTTGAAAGTAAGAGTTTTTTAATGTAAATTTACTTTAAATAATGTTTTGTTTTTTAAAAAATTAAACAAAATAATTTATGGGAACTCTTCAAAATATCCTCCACATCCACAGAGGCCATTTTGAACAGTTCAATTTTAAACATGTAAAATAAAGCTTTCATTAGTGCATATGGGTTATGCAGAAGTGGAAAACAGTGATAGCCTTTTAACAGAAGATTTAACATTGGTTTCTGTAATGATTTTTATGGTGGGCAAGATCTCAAAAATGAAGCAAATTTGAAAGACAAAGATTTTAAGCTTATTTTTGACCCTAGAATCCCTGAAATATTGGCAATTTGGAGTTTTGGAGTGCCACTTAGGCAGACTTGTCTTTGATTTGGTTTTGTCATTATGGCTATAGATTGAAAGGTTTTTTGTTAACTGTATTCTGTATGTTTGGAATTGCACTTGTTTTACACTATGACTTCAGAGTGAAAACAAAATAAAATAGTTCCAAAAACAATGTATAATTCTGTTGACATTTTCTTTAAAATATACTTTGTAATTATTGCATTTATTTGGAATTTTAAAATTATTTTTAGAGATATAAATACTTAATCAAAGTTAATCTATACAAAATCATTGCAGGTGCTAGAAGAGATGTCGATGGATTCTTTTGGATAACAGGAAGAATAGATGATATGCTTAATGTCTCAGGACATTTGTTATCCACAGCAGAAGTTGAATCAGCTTTAATAGAACACAAAGCAGTAGCAGAATCTGCAGTTGTGTCACATCCTCATCCTGTTAAAGGAGAATGTTTATATTGTTTTGTTGTTTTAAAAGAGGTAATTAGCTCATATTGTTGCTTTTAATGTCTCATTAATAACAATACAATGGAGTTCTTGGATTCCTATGAAGTCTATTTGAAATACAATCTAAAGAATGACACCATCAAGGGCTATGATTCTCTTTATCATCAAAAAGACAGTGTTTAATCTCATTTATTTTTGTTTGTGCCTTAATATATTGCAATTCGGATAGATATCTTTTGATGGACAGAAAAAAACTACAATGATCAATTGTTTGCATAAAATTAAAAATTAAGACAGCACAAAGCATAGACTAATCTATGACTGAAGTTTGAAACAATTTTTAAAAAATTAGCTCCATCATTCTACTACAGTAACATGTGTTCAAACTGAATTTAAACTGTGACTCTAGAGTGACTCATGTAAAAACACGAGCTATAATCACTTTTTAATGATTTGAATTAAATTTTATGCTTCTTTATTCTACTATAACTTAGAATATATACAATGATAACAAAGATTTAGAAATGTTTAATTTTTGCAAATTTTCAATGAATAATGAACTACAGTAGAATCTGCTTATAATTGCTTTGGACTTAACTTGTACAGGTGAAAACTTATATTGAGTACAGTAAGACTATATAATTAGTAAAAATTCTGGTTTATTAACTTAAAAGACATAGTGAAACAATTTAATAAATCTTCAAATCATACTTTTTTAAAAAAATTTGTTTTTAATTACAAAAATTATTATAATGTATCTAGTACATAATTGAACTAAATAATATCAATTTAAACTATTGTACTTCAAGCAAATAACAATCAGTATTTTAAATGTTAAGAGTGACAACTAGAACTGATAACAATTAAACTTTATTGGCCACATGTTGACACCAATTGCCTATTGTAATCAGTTTTGATTATAGTTGCTATTATCTTCAGTTAAACAGCATGAGAGCATGTGAAGACAACTTAAAATACTTGTAAAACTTGAGACATTTTAAGTTATCAGAGTTGGCACATCCCAAAACATATAATATTAGATGACTGATAAAATAAACAGATTCTACTGTGTATATTAATTTTTCTTTTGAAGTCAAATTTCATAAAATCAAATTAAAATCAAAATTTCGTTTCTTTTAGGGACAAAAATTTACAAATGAATTAATTAAAGATTTAATTTTAAAAGGTAAGATTTTTAATTTTCGATTACTAATACAGAATAAAATATATTCATCTAATAGAAAATAATTTTAAATATTCCAAATGTAATAATATTAAATTTATATTTTAGTACGTACAAAAATTGGAGCTTTTGCAGCACCTGAATACATACATCATGCTAGAGGGTTACCCAAGACACGTTCCGGAAAAATCATGAGACGCATACTTAGGAAGATAGCAAGAAATGATCGTGATCTTGGTGATACAAGCACTTTAGCAAACGAAAATATTGTCAACGAATTATTTGACACACGACCAGCTAATGCATAATCTTTCACCAATTCTGTAGTTGATAAAATTGCCACTTTCTATTACTGCTTTTTATCTGCTGTGATATGTACAGAATAGTAACTTCTAGATCTAAAAAGTTGCATTTATTCACTTGCCTTTAATCATATTTAGCAACATATGTATCTGTTGCTATATGCATTTTTTTTTATATGCATATAATATTACTTACCTATCTTTAAGATTTTATAAATTTTCACTAGGAATTATAAATTTATACTTAAAATGAATTATTAAATGATTATTTATTACCACAGATAAATTCTTATTTTACCATTTTATTATATAAANGTAGAATTTTTTATAATATTTTAATTATAGATTTAAAATGTAAAAATATATATAAAAATTATAACCTTTATTTTACAATTACAGTAAAACCTATCCAAAATGGAACCTGAAGGGAAATAAAAGGGGATTAGAACGATATTCTATGTTAGAAAAAACCTGTTTAATACTGGAACCTGTTAAAAGAGAAAAAAATATACAATTTCGGTTTACACAGGTTTTACTGTATTATGTTTTTACATTATAATTTATTTTTATGTTTTTAATTTGTAAAGTAATGAAATTGTAGGGATATAATTTTATTTAGTTACAGTGCACTGTATGGCCTTTTAGATTTTAGTCACTTGATAATAATCAAGTTGTATATTTATAAAGTCGTTAGATAAATTTTAGAATATTTTTTGAGATTAAAACTTGATAATCAAATTAAGCATAATTTGTAAAGTAATGAAAGTTTAGGGATATAATTTTATTTAGTTACAGTGCACTGTATGGCCTTTTAGATTTTAGTCACTTGATAATAATCAAGTTTCATTTTCAATTTAATAAATCTTATGTCATATCTAAATTTACAACATTATTAATCCATTATATGGAAGAATAGTAAATAGAAGGACCACTGTACTTATTAATTTTCAAAATTGAGAATTATAAAACAAAATCTACCTTCACAATTAATAATAGTGAAGTAATGAATATATATCTTTAATTAAATTGTTTATTTTCGTTTTTGTTAACAAATTTAGATTAACTGCTACATTGATTCTAATAATGTTTTTTGCTAAAATTAACATGAGTAAGATATCAAAATACTTGAATATTAAGAAAAAAGAATTTCTTGGATAATTTATATTAAATGGGCTTTTACAATTACTTGAAATGTGTATAAAAGTATAGATAGGTTTAATAAGTTAATTAAAAGGAAATGTATATTTAAAATTATACAGAAGTGATGATGCTGTCTTTTAAGAACTTTAAGTTTGTACTTTAGCATTAAAGATGTGATTACATTAATTTGCATGGATCTAAACAGAAAAAGCATATATTTGACAGATAAAATGCTTTAACATTACAGCAGTCACATGATTTTGGATTAAATCCACAGATCACATACTGTTCTTATTATAAACATTATCTAACAGTTCATGTTTTTGAATAAAGTTAACTTTCTTCAATCTATATTGAACTAATTTAAATTCAGAAAATAATAGAGATGATACCTATTAGTTTTTATAAGATCTCAATTATAATTTTACCTTCAACCTTCATATCTTTCATAATTTTAATATGTTTAACTATTACTTGTATTAAACTGTAAAAATAAAACTTTTCTACATTCTAAAAAGTGAAATAATTATAATTATGATAATTTGATTATGTTTATTTCACATTTGATAGAATAAAAAGTAATCATTACCATTTCGAAATATCTGTCAGTGATCAAAAGAACATAGAATGTTTCTTTTTGTCACTAACAGACTTAAATAAACTGCCCTGCATAAATATAAAAATGAAAAACAAACTCATTCCATCGACAATTACAAAACTTAGAAAGATTTTCAATTCATGCCAGTTAGTGTAAATCAGCTTTAACTAATTTATGTATAAACACTTCATTTTCAGTGACAAATAAAAGCTCAATAGTTGTATCAGAATAGCTTCATTATGAATCATAATATGGAAATGTAAAAAGAAATTTTATAGATCTGCTTGATTTGGCTCTACATTATTTCTTAAATAGAATAATTTGAACTTAGAAAAAATATATAAATAATTTGTAGTAAACACTATATTTCACAATATATTCAAATTGAACAAAAATAGTAACTGGAAGATAAAGTATTTTAAGTCCCACATTCCTACATTCAATTATATCTGTAATATTAGTATTATTATTACTGTAATTTAGTAATAATTTTTTGTATTATACAATTATATGGATTATTAAAATGGATTTGTTTGAATGTTTGACATGACAGACATGAAATAATTTTATGATTTCATTTAATTTACATTGTTCTTTGAAATTAAAATAAAGTTCTGTTATTTATTGATTTGTATTTTAATTACTGATTTAAGTAATTTATTTCCTAAATCAAAAATATTGTACTTATGGAAAATTTGATCAAATATACACACAGTATATTCATTTTTTTTAAATGTTTGACTGAAGATTTATTGAACAAAATAAATGCTTAATGCAATCATTATCACAGGGAGGAAAAAAGCATTACTTTGAACTTATTTTAAAACTAGCAGACCCTGCCATGTGTTGTTGTGGCTCAAAATGTATCTATTATAAATTTATAACACTTCCCCCATAGGGGGAAATTTTTCGAAAAATTTCTTCTTAGTGTACATTCTCTTGACATACTCTATTAAAACACAATCAAAAATGCAAAAACCTGCATCTAAAATAGTATAATAGAAGCCAAGTTCTTCACGGTAAGCCTTAATCCTGTCTCTCTCCCCCGTGGGGGGAATATCGAAAAATTTCTTCTTAGTGTACATTCTGTTGACGTATCCTATTAAAACGCAATCAAAAACGCAAAAATCCATATCTAAAATAGTATTAAAAAAAAGCGCCAACACCATCAATGACCACAACACACTCCCTAACGATAGATTAGTAGAATTTAGATTTCAATCAATTTTCAGTACAGCTTGAAAAATTAAAATTAATATCATAAAGAAGCAGAGTTCTTTACCGTAAGCCTTAATCCTAACCATCTCCCTTCAGTGGGTTTGAATTTCAACACGTATATTATATAAAAACACGTGTGTATTTGAATGTAGTGTTGTGTCAAAATTTCAAAGGAATCGGTACGAACAAACAAACATTACATTTTTATTTATATAAATAGATAGATGATGATCCGCTTTAGTTCATTTTCACAGAAAAGCATAATGCCTCACAGAAAAGCAAACAGGGCGTCGTACTCGTAGCGCCATTTGTTGGACATAAAAGCCTTAACCTAGATTATATCTTTTAATTTATATGAATGTTTAACGGAATAATATACAGCCTATGTCCACCCTGAAGTTCCATTCTAAATATTAATGAAAGAATTTTTGAAATCGGATGAGTAGTTTCAGAGATTACCTGCTGCATACAAACTTATATACTTACAAACATTACCTCTTTATAATATTAGTATAGATAAACTGAAACATTTATTCATCAAAAAGGAAGCATAATTGAATAGAAATATGATGCAAGTAATATTGTTCTATAGAATTTGATACTTTTCCAAAAATTCCAGATCTGTTACCAATGTATCAAAAAGAACAGATACCTAACCAAGCAGATATTTCACTGTCTTTCAACTGGGTTAATCTGGCTTTTGCATTCAAACTATTCCTCATATAACTAGATCATTTTAATAATTTTAAGTATTCCAGATTTAGAGAATTAATTTATTTTTATCATCTTATGATTGAGTGAAATGAAAAACAGGATCAGATGCATTCTACATATTTAAATTTATATTTTTTGACATCTTGACAGCCATTTAAAAAATACTTTAAAATGGAAGATGTTAAAATTATTTATGAATTTATTAATGTCATCATTGGTAGTAATTAAGATATATAACTTGTGCATGATTAGATTCTTCAAATGGTATTAAAATATTCAGAATTATTATTATAAGAATATTTCTGTTGAAGACAGCATGGATACAAATAATCACTAAAGTTTATCAAACTGAAATAACAATATATTAATATTTCATTTGGCAAAATAACATTAAATTATGCTCAGAGCTAATAAAATTAGTATGAGATTTATAAATACCTTTTGTCAGAGTGTTAAAATAGCAACAGTTTATTATTTTAAAAACAGATTAATTCCTATGTTTGGTGTTAGCACACTTTTCCTATAAACAAACTTATCAAACAGGACAGAATGACCCTGAGACACAATTTTCTACCATGTACTTATTATGATATGCCTTTCAGACCTACAGATTCCTCCTCAGTCATGATACATAGATCTCTTTGTAGATTTCTAGGTATATGCACATACATTATTAGTTTTATAGTAAAAACTTCTTAACATATGTACTTCTATGCAACAAAATCCACTAAGAGGGTATATTTTATCCCAGAAAGAAAATTCTATACTATTTGATACAAAAATATGGAATCTAATGAATCCATACTGCATCACGATTTTGCATACTGGAAATTACACAAGCTACATCTCATTTACATATCTGCATTTACTTTGCCTTTGGGTGTTTCCCTCCAGCTCACAAATATGTGTTAATTTGTTTATTTTTTCACTCCCTATCTGTTAGAAAACCCTCCCAAGATTCATGTATTTGTAGGTCTATATTTTCATTTATTGTTTTATTTTTATAATTTCACAAATCTGAATCAGAGTTTCTCAAGATGAATTGCAGGAAGAAGGAAATAAATTTCAGTAAAAAAAAAAAACAAAGACATTGGAAACCCTACTATATACATATATACATTTTTCTAACTATCAACAATAGATATTTATTAAAATATTGTATAGTATATTAAAAACCAAATACCTATAAACTATATCTGAATTATATTAAGCCTGCTGACACATACAAGCATAATATGCATATTTCTTTAAAATAAATTAGTCATTGAACAAATAGAAGTTACCTATTAGTCTGTTTAAATATAATGAATAAAATAGAAGTAACTGTCTTTAATATTAACCCTAGGGAGTCTTCAGAAATGAGTGTGTCACTTAACAAAGCAATGTATTAACATAGTTATCTGATGCAAATTATAATAAAACTTGTAAGCCAGCTGGTCAGGACATATAAACACCTACAGACAATGTTACTTTAGGTAGGAGAGGAGAAATGTTAAAAGAAGTGAGGCTCTTGTTCTGTATATTTGCCATCACTATGAAAACATTTCAGGAAGAGATCAAAAGAAAGCTAGGCAACGTTTTATGGTTGAAAATATGCAATGAACAACTATCAACTGGATATTGGAAGATTTGAGGAATGTGTATCTCTAAAGTATTGGAAATCTACTGATCAGCTTGAAAGCATAGGAACTTAGTTAAGTTATACATGCAGTGCATAGCATAAGTTATACATACAGTGGAATGAACCTTCAAGCAAGACCCATAGACAACATTGAGAACAGTGGCTGCTAAACTTGGTCTTGTGGTAAGTAACCTATATGACATAAAAGTGAAGAAGTATCACTGTCCATAAAAAGAAACCAGCTCCAAAGTAAAAACATTTTAGTCTAAAGTTTTTAGCAAAAATAACTGCTAAAAACATGCTGATGTTCAACTATGTTCCAAAGGAGAGTACATATTGGCATTACATGAGACATACTGGAATGAAGACCCAAAATAAGCATCTTGAATAAAATTCTATCATTCTAGTAACAAATCAGATGTACCATATTAAGTCAGGTTTATAGGAAAAGCTAAATTTCCAAAAAATTACTTAATATGACAGGCAATTGATGAATGTAAACACATCTGAATCTTTCATTTCTTGAGAATCTATCGACATTGATGTATATCTCAAAGTGTGTATTAAAAAGCATTTGATTCTCTTCATCTAAAAACACTATAACCTGGAAGATGTGGAATTCTGGCCAGATCTAGTAATGGCCGATTATGCCTGCAAAGTTTCTGATGACATTCAAAGTATTGGGCTTGAGTTTGTAGAGAATGAAAACAATGCTCCATGTACTGTACCTCATACCTATTCCATTGAAAGTTTCTGGGCACTGTGTAAACAGCAATATATCTCTTGTTCTTGTGATGCAAAGTACTTAAATTCAAACAAATTTGGAGAAATATTGTTCAAAAGTTGGGGAAAAAGCCTGGTATGGAGTTAATGGCAGGAGTTCAAGACGTATAGGACTTCATTATGTCTATGGACTATTACTTTGCAAAAAGTAAATCTGAACTGTCTGGGCTATCCTATGAACAAAACTGATCTTATTTGTTCTGGTAAAACAGTATCAATTAAAAGTGACTCTTTCATTTCCAAACACTCCAAGCATTTTAAAATACTTGATATATTACAAATTTATTTTTAACTTGTTTAATTTAAATATAAATAATCAATAAGATTATTTTGTTATCATATGCCATTTTAAGACGACTATTCATTAAAACACATCTTGTGAATTAATTTTTGTAGTTAGTCTTAAAAAATAACTTTATGATAAAACTCTTACATTTAATGATTAACTGGAAAAAATTTCTCAAAAAATCAATTTTTAATTTAAAACAATAATTCTTAGGTCTAACAAAAGATTCATTACCCATTTTCCTGAAATTATTGATTTAAGATTCTAACTTAGGTTATGTTTATAGTGACATAGTGAGCAAAATGAGAGGAATGTGGTGAGGCAAAAAATGAGAACAAATACATATAATATTTGCACAACTTTATAACTTTAGGATACTGGATTAGTATAAGAAGCATAAATATCCATCTTACTTTAAAACATAACTGTACTTACACATGTTTATAGTGAGTTTGAGGCTCCAAAAGAGAAGAACAGTGAGAACAAAAATAAGTTTGATATCTCCATTCTCCTCATTGATGAAATTTATGCAGTGTTTTACTTATAATTTGTAACCAATAACAGTAATTAATATTTTTAATAAAATGATTTTGTTTTAGTAATTATTTAAAAAAAATTACTATAACAAAATATATTAATTACTAATAATAATAATTATTGACTGTTAACAAAAATAAATAAAAAAAGAAATGTAAACACTAAATAGTAATTTGTAATAGTAATTATTCCTTAACTTTTCTGGCTATTATTAGTATCAAATTATCATTTATCCATATATTTAGTAGTAATTACAATGAATGCTAAAAAATTAATCAGAGCTGTTTCCTCTCTGCTTTTCTTGCTGTGCTATTACTTCTTCCTTGCCATGCTACTTTCGTTACTGCTCTACACACCACATCTCCATAAATGTAGCCCCCCCTTAAGCCTCAAGCTCGAGATATCTCGGGCAAGTTACATAGGACCACATAAGGACCACATAAAACGTGGTCCTTAAGGGGAGTTTTGAAATTTTTTTTTTTAATCAACCTTTAATGACGCACAATTAACGCTTAATTGTTTTTTAATGGGATTTTTTTATCAAATTTAATTAATCGTTCTAAAGTTGTAGTGCACGGATTTTACTTTGGTAAAGTTATTTAAAGCTACTTTCTGATATCAAAAACGACCTCCAATAGTTTTTTAATTTTTTTAATTAATAGATTTTATTATATATAAGTTTAATTAAGTCGGGGGACGGAAATCACAATAAAAGTTTTAATTTTTTAAAAATATTTAAAAATATACAGCCAACTAGTATTCACCCTACTATAAACCTATTGCCTCCCGAGAATTCTGAGAATGTCCCGGGAAATCCGACTCCAGCTGTTCTCAAGGTCATCCAGCTGTGTAAACAATGATTCATCAGTGTCAAATTTCACAGAAAGGCGTGACAAAGGAAAATAAAATTTGAAGCTTTTTCTTCAAAATTAACGCATTTCTTTCTTTTTTTTCAGTTTTAAGTATTTTTTATGTTTAATTACATTTATATCAAAAATTGCTCGGGGCTTAAGGAGTTAATCAACTACTGTATCTGCTGGCAACTTGTATTCACATACAGTAGACCTCTCTATAAAACGAGTTCATATAATATGGATTCGTATACAACAGCAAAAAAATTGCAATCATATTCGTATAAATACACTAAAAGAGACTCATATGATACAGTAAAATGTCCTCACCAACTTGTGTTGCGACAGGATTGGTCAAATCTAGACCAACAGTGGATATTGCACAAACCATTTACTTTAAACGAGCAGCGGACATTAGGTCCGCTGCTCTAATGGCCATAAAAATTATATTTATATTAATGATGTCTCCAAAGTTAAGCAAATTTTCCGCCAAAAAAAAATAATTTATCATGAAGCACATGAGCACCATTCTATGACAAGCTCCACGACGAAAACAAGCTTAAGCAATGGCATCATTGAACGGTGCACACTCGGTAAGTAATCCTATAATTTTTTGTTTATAGCATAGTTTATATGGATTAGTCCCAAAAAATTATACATGTTTTGGAAATGTTCAGTCAAATTAGTCTACAATCGATTAATTTTATGGAAGAAAACCTTTCAAACAGCCATAGCCATAAACTGTATATGTGCCGGGCTGTGATTGGCTCATGTATTTAAAGACTCATACAACATGAATTTCATAAAACACTGAACATATCTACCATGTTATAAAAGGGTGTACTGTATAATAAATAATATATTATGCATAGTTCTATAGTTGTAAAATGTCATCAACTACTACTAACATTATATAATTCTTCTTCTATAGAAAAATCAGAAAGAGTATGTGAGAAAAAATGTTATAAAATTAGGGTTATAGTCTCTAAAATTATTGTAGTTTATTATACAATATATAACAATTTATACAAAATGATTCTTATATATTAAATAATTTCATCTAAAATTATAATCTCTAATATCTGAATATTCATTACAAAACTGCTCATATAACATACAGATTTGACCAATTTCTTCATTAGTTAATTTAAATGGAGGCGTTTCTGGATCAATTCCTGTCTGACGAAAAACTTCATTCAACAACTGCTGTCTGTTTTTTGGAAATAACAATCTAAAATAATTTAGTTATTTTAGTTTAATCATTCTTGTTTTGTATTTTTAAACTATTTTTTAATGCAGAATATCTATATAACTTACTTCACAGTGTGTTTACACATTTTCTGTCTCGTGTGAAACAGAGTCCGATTAACTTTTTCTACTAATGGAAAAGGACATTTAATCAAAGGCTCTTTCAAAGGTGTGAAAGTTACTACACCAACATCAACTTCAGGTGCTGGTAAAAATGCTGATCCTGAACAATAAAATTATTAAAATTCAAAGATATAAAATTAATAATAATATTGAATTATTCATTTTGTTATTTCATCATGTAAAACATATTAAAACTTTAACACAAAATAAGTTTTTAGGAAATAAACAGGCAGGCAAAATTTATTTCCAACATTATATAATTTGTATAAACAATTTATTCATTATGTTAGTTTTTAATTATATGAAACGAAAGTTATGAATCTATAATACAGTGTGACTGTTCTATTATGTAAAATAAAATATTTATACAGTGGTACCTCAGGTTATGAACGCCCCAGCATACGAAATTTTCAGGATATGACATGAAATTCGAACATATTTTTGCTCCACGATACGAACAAAAACTCACCATACGACGTTACATTAGTTTGCATTTTTAATTTGTTTTTCTTACTACAGTTATTTTTTTTAATGTATTACTTGGCTTTAATTTGAGTATGTTTTTCGCGTTGGAACGAATTATTTGGTTTTACATGTAATCGTATGGGAAAAGATGATCCACCTTACGACATTTTCATGATACGATCTCAGTTTCGGAACGGATTAATTTCGTATCCTGAGGTACCACTGTATATGAATGATCAAATATGTCTTTAGACTACACTATTATATTTCCTTTGTTCCAGTAATGTATATTGATTAAACCTTTTAACAATAATGAGGATACTTATACATATATAAGTATATATATACAATAATATATTTGCATTATAATTCAAAACTTTCTTACCTGAAATTGTAAATTTATAGTCAGGCATACATAAATGTTGACACATTACAGATAACCTACATCGCTGGGGTGAACAGGGACAAGCAATTAAACGTTCTGCCACTTCCCTCTGAAATGTCAAAGTTAAACGAGTTCTACCATATCGAAATGGCCCTCTTCTTTCTGACATCTGGCGCAACCATTTAATAATTAAAGGAGTTGCAATATTGAAAGGAAGATTTCCAATTATAAAAAAAGGTGGACAAATATCATGCCAATCCCTAGACATTTCCCTGTAAATAAAAGATTGTTTTAAAAAATTTATTTGAATTCTAAAAAATTGAAAATTTTAACTTATAAAATGGATTAGCATAAACATCATAAATATTTAGAGAAAAATGATTTAACAAACTGATACAAACTTTTAAAAATTTTAGTTTTAAGAACCAAACTTTATTGATATGTTTGATTTTATTCTGTATAAAAGTATGATCAATCCCTTTCTAATATTTAGAATAATACAAAATATTATTGTCTAACTATAACAGATTATTTTCATTAATATTTGAAAGGAAATTATATTAAAATACATCTTATTCCAAATTTATATTTAAAATCATAAAAATAGTATTTATAATTATGTAAAAATCATTTACTTTAATTAATTTCTAATTAAAGCAACTATAGGAGGTCAATTATATACTGATGTATTTATGTTGTGCCAATAAAGGATAAAAAACCTCAGTAGGTTTTGGAAGTTTTCCAATTTATTTATCTATATATATAAAAATGAATGTGTGTGTGTGTCTGTCCTTCATGCATTACCACACCGTTTATCCGATTGCTGTGAAACTTTGGGAAGTTTTGGTACTTTGAAACCATGCTAGTAGTTATTAGTAGTAATTCAAACACAAATTATTATTGTATTTATTTTCAGGCACTTGGCAATTTTTATCATCAAATTTTTTATTTAGTTGATACGTTTTGATATTATTTACACACGTTTCGGGCATTTATTGCCCCTCTTCAGCCAACTAAAAACAAAAGTTCATAAGTTACAACACTATAAAATTATAAACAACAAACATATTAGGTATTGTTTTTTAAAAACATACCTTTTTAATTTACAGGTTATCAAGATATTAAAACAGGTTATCAAGATATTAAAAGTTTTTGTAATTCCATAACAACAAGTAAACATAGGCAATGGAAATTTGTGGTTTTAATATTTTGTTTTAGGATTATTTATCTTAAGTTCCCATTTTTTCACTAGTCTGCCTGGTGGTACTATAGTCATATGACAAGGTGGCCTGCTAGTCATATGACTATAGTAACCAGTGGTACACTTAACTGAGGGAACGAGAAAGGGGGAGGAGAGGTCATCCCAATGAGTTTGTAAAAAGAGGAAATTGCATGATTTTGATGAAAGACAAATATGTCAATTTTAGTATTGTTGTAAATGTATAAGAAAAATTTTAAATTGTTTAAATTTTATAACAGTGAAAAACAGATAATTAGGTACGTACTTCATTGTATTGTAAATGTATAAGAGAAAATCCATATAAAAAGATTTTAAAATATTTTAGATAATATAAAACGGTATGTTTCTTAGATTAAAGTGTTAAGGGCCAAGAAGTTTTTGTAATTCCATAACAACAAGTAAACATAGGCGATGGAAATTTGTGGTTTTAATATCTTGATAACCTGTAAATTAAAAAGGTATGTTTTTAAAAAACAATACCTAATATGTTTGTTGTTTATAATTTTATAGTGTTGTAACTTATGAACTTTTGTTTTTAGTTGGGCTGAAGAGGGGCAATAAATGCCCGAAACATGTGTAAATAATATCAACACGTATCAACTAAATAAAAAATTTGATGATAAAAATTGCCAAGTGCCTGAAAATAAATACAATAATAATTTGTGTTTGAATTACTACTAATAACTACTAGCACGGTTTCAAAGTACCATAAT